CCCCCTCCGGGTCGTCCCGCCCCTCCGCCTGCCCCCCCACCCTCCCCGCCGACTCTCCGCTGGCCTTCCGGGGTGGGGATTAGATGGGAGGTGGCTATGGGGCTGCGGCCGGGGTGTGCGCGCTCTTCGGCTTCCGTAGAGGAAGTCGCGCGGACTTTCATCTGGGGTTTCGGTGCCCCCCCCCTCCCCGGGGTCCGGGGGTGACATTGCACCGCGCCCCTCCTGGGGTCGCGTCGCCACCCCTCGCGGACTCCTATTCGCCTGGCGCGCTCCTCCCATTCGCCTCTGTTGGCCAGGCCTCCACCCCGCCCCCAGCTGCCCAGCCATGGGGGCTGCGGTGTTTTTCGGATGCACTTTCGTCGCGTTCGGCCCAGCCTTCGCTCTTTTCTTGATCACTGTAGCTGGGGACCCGCTTCGCGTCATCATCCTGGTCGCGGGGTGAGTAGGGTGTCGGGGAGATGCGGGAGAGTGTTGAAGAGAGAAATGCGGAAGGGGCTGGAGGAACTGGGGCGAGCTGAGTTGGGGGAGATGAAAGTCGGAGCTGGAGGTTGGACTAGGTCGGGTCGGGTGTGTGGGTGGTTCGCCCTCTCCCTCAGTTGGTATCCGCCTTCCAGGGATCGCAGGGGTTCCTCCTGTGCTCCTCCCGCAGATGTCAGAGGAGGCCCAAGGCCGAGACCCCTGAGGGGCTGTGCTGCTCTGGGCCGGTGGAGTCAGGTGCCCCAAGGGAGGATCCAGGAATGGATACCTCCCCCTTCTGTGCTCGCACACTCTGATACTCATCGCTCCGAAGACTCTTTACTCAGATTTCTCCCTCTTCCCGTGTCCAGATTCCTACAGAGGAGTCCCTGGGCGGAGATACCAACCCTATCCGGTCCCTGTCTCCCTGCCCATCCGGAAGTGTGATTTCCACTTTTCATACTGCAGCTCTGACTGGTTCCCCTCCTTGATTTCTCCGGCTGTCTTTGCCCTTGTCTGTCTCATTGCCCTTGTCTTTCCTCAGGGCATTTTTCTGGTTGGTGTCCCTGCTCCTGGCCTCTGTGGTCTGGTTCATCTTGGTCCATGTGACTGACCGGTCAGATGCCCGCCTCCAGTATGGCCTCCTGATTTTTGGTGCTGCAGTCTCTGTCCTTCTCCAGGAGGTGTTCCGCTTTGCCTACTACAAGCTGCTTAAGTAAGAAGATGGGGAGGTCTGAAGGGGAGGGGGGGCAGCCCCAGGAAGTGGTTTGGAAGAGGGGGTACTAAGGGAGGACATTGGAGGGGAAGGAGCAGCCGTGCCCTCCCTCATGTTTCCCCCACCTCACCCCAGGAAGGCAGATGAGGGGTTAGCGTCGCTGAGTGAGGACGGAAGATCGCCCATCTCCATCCGCCAGATGGCCTATGGTGAGCCAAGGGACAGGGATTGGAGGAGGGAGTTGGCTACCCCCTCCCCTAGGGAAGTCTCCAAAAGCCACATGCTGTGAGTGGCTCCTTGTTCTCCTTCATAACTGACTTCCAAGGAGAGGCAGGTCTGGAGGGCGAGTAGGTGTGGGAGAATGTGACAGGGAATGGGAAGGGGTCACTGGTGATCAGGCTGCAGTGATCCCTGACATTGACGAGGCCCTCCCTCTCCCCAGTTTCTGGTCTCTCCTTCGGTATCATCAGTGGTGTCTTCTCTGTTATCAATATTTTGGCCGATGCCCTTGGGCCAGGTGTGGTTGGGATCCATGGAGACTCACCCTATTACTTTCTGACTTCAGGTAAGACCCACTTCCTAGCTTGCCTTCATGCCCCATTCTCCCTGGTCCTAATCTGATGTATCGGCTTCCCCTGGGAGACTTCTTTGGCTCAACATGTCAGGAGGCTGGGAGAAGATTGGAGGTGTGGCTCATCCCCATCTCCCTCCCTGCAGCCTTTCTGACAGCAGCCATTATCCTGCTCCATACCTTTTGGGGAGTTGTGTTCTTTGATGCCTGTGAGAGGAGACGGTACTGGGCTTTGGGCCTGGTGGTTGGGAGTCACCTACTGACATCAGGACTGGTGAGTTGGAGACAGGGGCCTGAAGTAGGGAGAAAAGCATTTAATGGTGAGTGGGATGGGCGGAAAGCATATCCTCACTGCTTGACATTTTTAACTTTGGGAAGAGGCAGAAAGGTGAGTCTTTCAAGGTCTGCCACCTCACATCAGTTCTGTCACCTGCTCTGGGGATGCTCTGGGGAAGAGTGTGAGTGGATTAGTTAAACTAATGCAGAGGGTCTGAGGTGAGCAGGAGTGGCAGGATCCTTCGAGGGAGCTGTAAGTTAAAACTCCCATCACTGCAAGATGCTGGCGCACTGCAGGGACAGACTGGGGAGTCCGAGCGAGCTTTCAGGGGAGGTTTGAGCCAGAGGCACAGAGAGAAGATGGGGATCCGGTGGAGGGAGAATCTAACCCCTTTTCTACCCTTCACCTCGTTCCCAGACGTTCCTGAACCCCTGGTACGAGGCCAGCCTGCTGCCCATCTATGCAGTCACTGTTTCCATGGGGCTCTGGGCCTTCATCACAGCAGGAGGCTCCCTCCGAAGTATCCAGCGCAGCCTCTCGTGTAAGGACTGACTACCTGGACTGATCGCCTGACAGATCCCACCTGCCTGTCCACTGCCCAGACTGAACCCAGCCCCAGCCCGGGTCCATTGCCCACATCCTCCGTCTCCTCTTCGGTCTGTCCCACCACCTTCAGGGTTTTGCTTTGTCCATTCGTGACCTGTAGTCTCTAAGCTTTACCAGGAACGGTCTGGGTTCAGCCAGTCAGTGACTGGTGGGTTTGAATCTGCACTTATCCCCACCACCTGGGGACCCCCTTGTTGTCCAGGACTCCCCATGTGTCAGTGCTCCGCTCTCGCCCTGCCCAAGACTCACCCCCCTTCCCCTCTGCAGGCCGACGGCAGGAGGACAGTCGGGTGATGGTGTATTCTGCCCTGCGCATCCCACCCGAGGACTGAGGGAACCTGGGGGGGGACCCCTGGGCCTGGGGTGCCCTCCTGATCTCCTCGCCCTGTATTTCTCCATCTCCAGTTCTGGACAGTGCAGGTCGCCAAGACAAGGGACCTAGTATAGCCATTGCCTTGGAGATGAAATTAATGGAGGCTCAAGGGTGGATGAGCTTTGAGTTTCCCAGTACCCCCTCCCCAGACTGGACAGGTTGGTCTTTTTCTCAGGTCTGAGGGGAACCATTTTTGATGTGATAAAGACCCCAAACTGCCTTTTTTTTTTTTTTTTTGAGTGGGGGTAGGGAAGAGGTATATTGGACCTTGGGCTATATTTTCCCTCCTCAAATCGCTCCTCATGGATGGGCTGTTTATTTCCTTTCCCCTTGGTCTCAGGGAGAAAGGAAAGAAGTGCATGTTTGGGAACTGGTATTACTGGAACTAATGGTTTTAACCTCCTTGGCCACCAGCATCCCTCCTCTCCCCAAGGTGAAGTGGAGGGTGCTGTGGTGAGCTGGCCCACTCCTGAGCTGCAGTGCCGCTGGAGGAGCCAGACTACCATGACATCGCAGGGAAGGAGGACAGATTTTTTTCTAGTTTTTAATTGGGGTATGGGAAGGGTGGGGAGGTTTTCTATAAACTGTATCATTTTCTGCTGAGGGTGGAGTATCCCATCCTTTTAATCAAGGTGATTGTGATTTTGACTAATAAAAAGGACTTTATAATTGTGGGGGAAATTGACTCTTAAGGGAGGGGATAATATGTTAATGGAGATTGCTGGCCTCTCAGTTCTCTTGTCCGGCCTTCCTTCTCACCTGGCAACCACTGATTTCCAAGCAGAGCTTTGACGCAAGGGCAGAGATCTGGGCCGGTGGGTTAACATGTCAGAAACATTGCGTTAAGTGTTTTCTCAGCAGTGGCTCTCCCCTTCCTGCAAGGGTAAAAGGAGGTAATCACCCCTGCTGCTTTCCCCTGGGCTTTTGCCCATCTCTGTCACCTCTAGGACTAGGGACTTCCCCACCCTCCAGAGCTCCCAAAGGATAGGCCAGGATTAAAGTCAGAAGCTTTAATTTCCATATATACTGAGCAAAAAAAAAAAAAATATAACCTCCACAGGAACCCTTTTTCCTCAGGGGAGATCCTGCAACATATCTAGGGACATACAGAGAGGCCAGGGACATTGAGGCACATCCCCAACTTCCCAAACTAGACGCAGTTTGTCCTCAGCGGTAACAAAGGCGTGCCCTGATCTCCTGCATGTGTTGAGAAGCTGAAGGCTCCGCTGTGTCCCCTGCATGAGAGTCTGGGTCCATACTCTTCTGTAGCGGATGAACGGATGAAGGAGGGGTGTCTGCCAACTACTACAGTATGTCCTGGCCAGTCCCTGCACCCCATTTTCGAGGCTCCCTGATAGGCGTGAGGGAAAGGCATCCACAAAATCTGAGAGGGCCTTTATGCCTCAGCGGCAGCTCGTGCTGAAGTAAAGGCCACACTCTTCCGGTTCCCCAGCCTCTTCTTCCTGGAAGGGAGAATGGTTCATGGAAGTGACTGGTGTCCTAAGGGAAGCAGGTGAGAGGTGGAGGAGGAGAAAGCTTTTTAGTAGGAAAGACAAGGCTAGGGGAATGGAAAGTAGGACCTCACCGAATCTTTCTGGCGATGAAATAAACAGCCAGCAGGAGGCAGAGACAGCCGAACAGGATTCCCACACCTAGACTCACCATCTCACCTGGGGGAGATAAAGGGAGCAGGTGTCAGCCTAGGACTACCCGGGTATTGAGCCTCTCCCCTTGCTGAGAAGTATCCCGCCCTCAGTACCCGGGAGGGCCATCTCACCTGTGGTATATAAGGATCCCACTGTAAAGGAAGAAAACGTGGGTCAGCGGGACTTGAGATCCCCACCCCAGCCCAAGCAAGTCCTGGAAACTCCTTTCCCTCTTAGCTGTTTCCTTCCCAGAGACTTCAGTAGTGCCTGCTATTGACTCCCTCAGTTTCCCATCTCCTCTTCTGAGATCTGCAGTCACCTTGGATGAAAGAAGCATAGACAGTTCTTTGGTTGAGAGGCTGGGGGGCCCGGTAGTTCTGTACCAGGAGCTGAGAGGGCTCCTCTTCTGTGGAGAACAGTGTCTCCTGAAGCTGTTCCAGCTGAGGTGTAGAAGAGTGAAGCAGTGTCACTGGGGGAGTGGGAGAGGGCTTCAGGTTCCAGCTCTGACTCTCACCCCACATCACCACTCACCTGTTCCATTGAAATCTGGGCCCTCCGATGGAAAACTGTCCAGACCACACTCTGGTAGCAGGGCGGAGTGGTAAGCGAACCGTTGTAACGGAAGAACTGCCCCAGCTGTGGGGGGAGCAGCTCTCTCACGCTGAAGGGAGGCACTGAGGTCTTCTGATCTGGGGGGAATAGAGTAGGACTCATCTTCCTGTCTGCAGCCTAGCTTAGCCACACAGGGCTCCCAGAGGGAACCCCCGACCCTGCTCATTGCCCCAGCCCAGTTTTTTTATTTTTAAAGAATTATTTTATTTAACTTTATTTATTTTAATTTGACTAGCGAGGAATAGAGTGAGAGAGAGGAGAAAGAGAAAGTGAGAAAGCAAGCTGCCAGGTCTGGGACTCAAACCGCGGTCGGCCATGTGGGAGTCTAGCGCCCTTAACCACCACTCCACCTGCTGGCCCCAACCCCATCCCACTTTTTGAGTTTCCCTGAGGTCTGATCTCCCTCCTATTATAGATTTCAAGACTCACCTTTGTGTCTTATTTTATGCAAATGACTCAGAATGTGGTCGTAAGCTGCATTCTTTGTCTCCCCCACCTGGAAGGGGAGTGAAGGGGAAGGAAGGGGGAGAGTTTGGAATGAGACCCTGTTTGGAGTTAGACATTCAGGTACAGAGTAAATGGTCAGGGTAGGCTGCCGCCTGCCTCGGAAGGCAGGCCAGTGATAGGAAAGGCCTGAGAGGTGCAGAGGAGGAGCAGAGAGACCTGGAGGGGTGGGGCCACTGACCTCAATTAGGATGCCCAGGACAGCCAGACCCTGCGGCATCTGGGCAGCCTCGCTCAAGCTGTCGTAGGAATCAGAGTCATAATGTACGATGTGGAGCTGAGGGGAGGGAGGGAACGGAGTTGTTTAATGTCCCCCCACCCCTCCAAGGCCTTGGCCCTAGCCACCCCTACCCCCACATCCAGTATGCTCTGAGTCTGCCCCACAAAGTTTGGCCTCATCCCCCCAGTGGGGCTTTTCCCATCCCTGTGACTGTCCCAGTCTGAGCCCCTGGTTTCCTGGTACCTCTGCAGCTGTGGCTTCACTGTTGATCTGGTGTTCTGATCCCCCTGGGAATCCTTTCTGACCCCAGTGCAGGTGCAGCTGGGCAGCTACATACTTCTGGGGAAGCCCGCCCAGATACAGGGTAGGGGGCAGAGCAAGTTGCACTGTGAAGGAAAGAGCAAGCCGGGCTTGGTGGAGGCATGTGGACCCATTCCCATCTCTAGTCACCACTTCAACGTGGCCCTCCACTTCCACCGTCTCCCCCAGCAGCACCCAGTTCTTCCCACAGGCCCGTGCTTCCACGCACATCTCCCCTTTCCTCAATGAAGATCAAGTCAGTGCTAGGATCCTCACTTACCCCCTGGACTTTGATTCTAGACATTCAGTTCCCACCCTGTCTACAGGAGCCCAGTCTCATCCTTAGATCTCCACGTTCATGGACAGAACTTCGCGAGAATTCACAAGTTAGGAGAACAGGAGCCTACAACTCCTTGGAGCCTGGGCCCTTACCTGTGTGGCCATTATTGTGCAGGTCCAGAGGCTCAGTGCCAGGCTGCTCATATCCATAGGGCTGCAGAGCAGGCAACTCGGGGTCAAATGTCACACTGTCTGTCTGGATATCGATGGGGGACTGGGCATTGCTTCCACACTCAGGGTAAGAGGCTGGCCAGTGGTCCTGACCATGTGGGCCTGCCAGGGGTTACCACAGACATTTGGCCTGTCCTCCAGCCCCAGCCACCCTTTCTTCACCCCTCACCAAATTATACACCTGTGTGGAGGCAGAAATGCATTTCCTTCCACCCAGGCTAAGGAAACCCCTTCCCACTCACACCAGGTCTCCGTGGTACAGAGCTAGACGCAACAGGAGTTCTTGTTGAACTTAATGCTGTGGCTCCCCTCACCTACCCAGAGACAGTGAGGACTCCCAGCCATCCTGACACCAGTAGGTGACAGCTCCCTTACTTACCTGTACTTTGAGGATGGGAAAACTGAATGAGAAGAGAGGGTGGATAGGAAGCCTGAATACTCAGTGAGGTGGGATTTGAGATCAGGGGTCAGAAAATGAGGGGAAATAAAGTGATCTTAGAGAGACAGGTCTCCTTGGGTTTCCTACCAAGTGGTTTTGGGATCGGATCCCTCTCTGTCATTCACGCCTCGTTTTCACCTCGTTCTCACCGTGGACCTTGCATTGGCTCTGGGGTTTGGTTCAGTCAGTAATCAGAAGTTCAAAAAAATTGAGTCCCACCTCCCCCAGGGCCACAAACAATCCTGCCAGCCTCTTCCTCACCCCTGACCTTGAGCTCTGTCCCAATTCCAGGTGCAGGCTGGGGGCAGGACAGATTAGGACAGAGAGAGCAGGAGGAGAACTGGCAGCTAGGCCCAGGATTCCCTTTCCTTTCCACTCCAGCTCCCTCGCTCCCGTGAGCATTTAGGAAGGACCTAACTGGCTTTTCTGCTGATTCAGGAGGTGTGGGATTTGACAAGCAGGGTCTGGGAGCCACTTATGCAAACCCAGGGCGAGGGAAACCCCCTCCCACCCACACCCAGGTCCTTCTGCCCAATGTGAAGGGAGTGTCCGTAGGCCTTGCGTCCAGCTCTCACCCGCATACGTCCAGTGTTGACCTGCAAGGAAAGAATTTGGGTTCCAGCCAGCACAGCTCAGGACAGGCTCCACTCTCCTCCCTGGGGCACCGTTCGCTCCACCTCCCTCTCTGCTCTCCTCCCTCCACTCCTGCACTTCCCAAAGGAAGCTCTGAAACTGGACACCTCAGTGGAAAGGTCGGGGTGGTGGTGGGGGCATCTAAAATCACCAGCCAGGCTGTCCTGTGCTGGCTGAGTAAAGGGGGAGGAGGAATGAGAAGAGATAAAGGCCGGAGACTAAAATTAACCTGGATCCAAATGTGCAGTGGGCCCAGCCCTCACTTTTTCTGCAGCCTGTGCCAAGTCAATCCAACCCTTGGAAGTTGGGGTGGGGTGGGTTGAGGGTGTGGCAGAGGGTTTGGAGGAAAGGCATTAGAAAGGGGAGGGGAGAGTCCGAGTGTGCTGGGAGGGTTGCTGCTGAGGGGGAAGGAGGCATTACTCCTTTACTTGGAAGCACTGCCTGAAGCAAGACACTGGGGTATAAATTAATATTTAAATTCATCCTTTCTGTTCCCAGTAGCTCTAGCAGAAGCTCCGTGTCACCAGGAGCCTGTGCTCCATACATTCTGAGAGGGCTAGGGAGAGGCGGAAGTCCCTGTAGGGTCTACACTAGGTTGAGGGTGGTGAGTGGGAACGGCCAGCGCTGGCCTGGGACAGGGTGAAAGTGAAGTATTGTGTGTGGGAAAGAGGGCTGCCAGCTGGGTCACATGCCAGGCTCCCGTGCAGTCCAGTCTCTGGCCAAAAGGCTGGGGGGTCTGCTGGTCCAGACCCTGCCTAGGGCCGACTGCTGCAAGGAGAAAAAGGAGGGCTTTTTTTCTGTTTTCAAAAAATTCCCTACAATTTCAAATTGCTAGAAACTGGAGAAAAATCCTCAATTCCTCTCTCGCTTATTCCCTTAAATTCCTCAGACTTGTAAGATGTCTTAGATGTCATCCTGGGTCTGTTCTGCCTTGCCCCGTCCTTGGTTTGGACAGCTCTGAAAAGCAGCCCAAGGGAAGGCTGGAGGCAGCCTCTGGAATTCCCTGGCTCTGAGAAGGTGCCCTTCCTCTCCCATCGGATCCTCCACACACTTGATTCTATGGGGTTGTCGGAAAAGTCATGATGAATTTTTGCATAGAAAACTTCGTCAAGACTTTTTTTTGGAGAGGTTTTTGCTATAGGGCGTGTGTGCGCTCGCCAGAAAGACAGAGAGAGACAGAGAGACAGAAAGCGAGAAATCACCCCCCAGGGGGGATGGCCACGCCGCAATCCCTTCTCCATTCTCCTCTCGAGATCTTGGGCACACGCACACGCACCCAGCGTGAGTTTAAGCCGCCGGATCTGGGACTTGAACCATGGTCGACTAGTGGGAGTCCAACGACATAGCCATTACGCTAACTGCTGGTCCCATCTGATGACCCAATACATTTCATCCTCCTCTTTTTCTATTTTTTCTTTCTGGTCAGATGAAATTTGCAACTCTCCATTTGGTGCCTCCCATGCCCCATCATCCTCTCTTCATTTCCTTTCTCTTCTCTTTTTGTTTACTTATTTCTTCCATGAGTGAGAGAGACAGGACCCCAGCAGGGTCTTGATGCTGCAACCCACCCCCCAGCTTCAGCCAGCCTCAGAGCATGGCCATGTGCATGTGCAGGCTTGAACCCGGAACCCTTCCATGTGGGTCAGCCTTGCATAGCGTCATGTTTTACCATGCACCATACACCTGCCCCACCCCCCGTCTGCTTTCTAGATACCTCGCTTGCCCTGTTCTAACTAATCTAAATTGTACAGGCTGTGTGCTGGATACTGCCCCAGGCATGGGAATAAAAAATGCACTGTTGGGACCAGCAGTTAGCGTAATGGCTATGTCGCTGGACTCCCATGTAGTCGACCGCGGTTCACGTTCAGACCTGGTGGCTTGAAACTCACCCCGGGCGCGTGTGCGTGCGTGCTCAGGATCCCAAGAGGAGACTGGAGGAGAAGGGACTGCGTGGTCATCCCCCTGGGGGGTGATTTCTCGCTTTCTATCTCTCTGTCTCTCTCTGTCTGTCTGGTGAGCGCACGCGCGCTGTAGCAAAAACCTCTCAAAAACAAAAAAAAACAAAAAACAAAAACAAAACAAAACAAACAAACAAACAAAAACACTGTCGAAGTCTCTAGAGAAACTCCTGGGCTCCTGGGGCACCTGGCCTGTTCCAAGAACCCCTCCTCATCTCCTGGGAGCTCCTGAAGCCCTTTGTAGACTACAGCTGCTGACCGATGCTCACTATTACGGTGACAACTTTTAGGAGAAAACTGGGCAATGAGTGACTCAGAGTTAGGAGGAGCCCTTGGCCGTGAGATGGCCCGCTGGGTATCAAGGTCCGAGGTGGGCAGGAAGCGTCGGGTATGTGCCTGCCCTCCCCTCCGTCAACCCTCTACCCTCCAACTCCAGGCCACTTCAGCTCCTGAATTGGGAGAGTGTGTAAATACAGAAGGCCAGGAGGGCTTCCCGGGACTAGAGCAGTGGGGGAAAGAGCACTGGAGACCATGAGAAGCCTGCAAAGAGATTCCTGCTCTCACACGTGTACGCACCCTGCCCCTCGTGAGTTCTCCCCGGCCCCAGGAACAGCAAGGCTGGAAGGGCAAAGGGAAAAGAAGGGGAGCGATTTTTTCCTGGTCCTTTCCCCCGCCCCATCCCTGAGTTTATTCCAGCCTCTAGACTTCAGGAACACCTTTCCTCCCTGCATTAAGCACGCATGTGGCATCAGCACAGACCGACACAAAGAGCGACACACAGACATCCAGTTGCACCTACCACCGTCAGCAGCCAGGAGCCAAATCACCTCCAGCAGGAGGGCGAAGATCAACATGGTATCCCGGGAAGGGGTGCGGGAACTTGAGTTGGGGACTAGTGGAGGAGGGAGGCAGAGGAACGAGTCCCTGGCCTTGAGTGTACTTCTCTCTTGCTATCTCTGTGCTCTGCGGGCTTCCAGAGGATCTGATTTTCAGCAGAGTACGGTGGGTTTTGGGTCTGCAGGACAAACTTCTCACTGCCTTCCCTGCCCTTTCTGTGTATCTCCCTCAGTCTCCACTCCACTGCTGGCCAGCGACTTCACAATTGCCTCCCGCTTTTAAGGTGGCTCTGGACGAGTGTACATGGGGCGGGGGTGCTGCCTGGGCCGCTGGCGAATGGCTCCTTAAATAGCGATTAAGCACGCAGGATGGCCCGGCTGGGGGCTGGAGCACCACAGGGTTCACCGGAGCCCTGGCCCAGGCTCAGGAACCCAGCTGGGGTGAACTCTTCCTTCCTCAGCTACTCGCACAGATGCTGCTCAGACGGGTGTCTGCTGGAACAGGTGGGGGCAGGGAAGAGGGGCTTTGGGGTCCAATCCAGCCCCCTTGAGAGGACACGGTGTTCTCATTCCCGTCTGGCTTCTCCTCTGAGGAGCAGATTCTTGGGTTGGAGGACCTGTCCCCAATCCCCGGCAGAATCTGAACTGCCTTAGAATAAGTTCAGGAAGGGCAGAGTTAGGAGAGAGATGACAAGTTGGGGACTTAGGGTACAGGTAGAAGGTGGGAAGTCAAGGACTAAAACCTGGATTGTGAAAAGTAAAGAAGAGAAGTGAGGCGGCAAGAGAGCTTGTCTGGAGCGGTCTCTTTCTCCTGTGCCTGTCACCACCCCCTTCCCACGGTGAGGCCTGGGTCCACGTGCCTGTGTGGCCCGGGGTGGGGTGGGGGAGGGCGGTTTTGTTTGCTGGATAAAGCCCATTTGTGTGCCCAGCGGGGGAGGGGCTGCAGCAGCACCATGGAGAGACAGCGGCTCTAACTGCCAGACCCAGCCACCTCCCTCTCCGGGGAGCCCAGATCTAGGGCGGCTTTTGTCACTGAAGAGGACACTGACCCAGGCAGAGAGGCCAGGGCAGGAGGCGAGATGGGGAGACCTTAGAAATCACTACCACCATCAAAAAAAAAAAAAAAAAAAGGCGGACTCCAGAGAAAGAGAGGGGAGGGACCAGAGGGAGGCCATGTGATCCACATGGAAGAGGGCCCCAGGGTCTTCCCTCCTGCCCAACAAAGGGCCAGGCCGGGACATGTGGGACCGAGTGAAACCTGCCACTGAGAGCCGGGCCAGCCGAGCAGGGAGGCCGCTGGCTCAGGAATGTGGGTTGGTGTGTGCTCCCCCACGGGACTGGAAATCCCGATCGGAATGTACATCCTAAATCCCTCGTTGGAGAATGTGCAGTCCAAAGATAATTTCAAGACAGGCTTTGAGACTTCTTTCTCTTCCGTCCCCTTCACTACCCTTCAGGAGAGTCACCAGCAGGAGGGTGTCCCCATTTAGTTTCCTCTGCCTTCCTTGCTCTTGCAGACTTGCAATAAATAGCCAAAACAAAGGAGCGAGAGCTAAATAAGGGAACAGCGTAAAAGCAAATGAACAGGACAATGCATGTGCTGGATCATCAGCTCCTGCAGGGACCAGCTCGCAGCACCTTTCTGTCCCCTCCGATTGATCTGCAAAGCAAAGCCACTTTGCAGATGTCATTTCCTTTTCTACTTATTGCTTTTTTTAATTCTCTCATCACTCTCCTAATTATTTTTCCCCTACAGGAAAGCTTTATATTTTGAGGCTCTCTTACAGCCCCGTTCATCCCACCTAGGACAAAAAAAAGGCTTAAAGTATAAGTCAGATTTCTTGGGCATCGGGTTGGTTAACAGAGGGACGGACAAAAGAAAGAAAGCAGAGACAACTTTCACATGGTAGGAAAGAGGTCTGGACAGAATGACCTCTGCCAGGACAGAGTTCCGTGGAGGGTCTGGAACTGAGTCAGCCTCCCCAGCCAGGTAGTGTGTCTTGCCAGGCGCCACCTCCTGGCTCGTTTATGAATTTTTACATTTTAATTTAAAATGTTTGGGGTGAGATTTCTTCTGGGAAGTATTTCACCGCGGGTGGGCTGTCACCGCTCCCATCCCATGGGGAGGCCGGGATCCACGTGCCTGGGTGGGATTTTGCCTACACAATGTCACAAAGAAGTCTTAGCTCCAAATCAACGCCTCGCTGCTCGTGAGTGGGCAGCCCCTCCATGCCCTCGTGCTTCCCGAAAGGACAAAGACCCGGTTTCGAGGAGAGCGGGAGAAGAGGCAAGCACCATCCTCTAGGGACTTGACTTTATTTTGGGTTTTGTGTTACTGTGGCTCTTTCTGTTGCTGCTTTCCAGTTGTGCGGGTTTAGAGAAGCTGTCAAATAGACTTTTTCTTAAAAAAAAAAAAAAAAGTGTTTCTCTCACTCACCCCCTCCATCTTAGTTTTTACTCAAACTCTGGCATGTTTGTTTCAATTTTGATGTCTCCCTCAAGCCCTTTTCTCACCCTAGGCTTGGCGAACATCCTATGAAAACCAAGACATTGCACTGCCTTCTGGCGCCATCTCTCGTCCTTGCAAATGCAATGAAACGGGAATAAGAAACTAACTTGATTTCAAATGTGGTTCCTTATTTGTATTTTCTTAAAAGGTCTTACCTAGGGACCAGCAGGTGGTGTGGTGGTTAAGGCGCTGGACTCCCACATGATCAACTGCAGCTTGAGTCCTGGACTTGGACCATATTCACTTTCCCTCTCTCTGGTGAATTAAATAATAATAATAATGATAAATAAATAAATAATTCTTTTTAAAAAGGTCCTACCTACATATTTAAATTTACTAGTCTTAAAACACATTTCAGGGACCCAGTAAGTGCTTTGAGTTTGTGTGGGATATGGGAGTGCAGTGAGGGTGGGAGGCAGATCAAAAGGAAACAAGAATAGTCAAAAATAAGAAGGAACTGGGACCAGCAGTTGTCATAATGGCTATGTTGCTCAATTCCCATGTAGTCGACTGCGGTTCGAGTCCTAGACATGGTGGCTTAAACTCACGCTGGCGCGTGTGCATGCGTGCCCAAGATCCCGAGAGGAGAATGGAGAAGAAGGGATTGCGGCGTCACCATCCCCTTTAGGGGGTAATTTCTCGCTTTCTGTCTCTCTGTCTCTCTCTGTCTTTCTGGCAAGTGCACATATCCTATAGCAACCCCCCCCAAAAAAAAGAAGGAACTTATTATGGAACTTATTCAAGTACAGATGGTAACTAATTGCTGAGAAGACCCAGTGAGAAAACAGAATGATGTTGAACAGCAAGCAGCCTTGGGCCGTGAAGTAATACAGATCCAGAGATATTCATTCATTCGAGTTTGCTACAAGGAGTGTGTGCTTACTGGAGCAAGACAGAGAGAGAAGGAGGCAATGTGAGAAATCATCCCCCCACTGTCCCCATCTGGGTCGGGGGAGGTTGGCCATGCCGCAGTCCCTTCTCTTCCATTCCAAGATTTTGGCCACACACACACACAGGTGTGCCCTACAAGTAGCTGGTTCTGGGACTCGAACTGTGGAGTTGGCCATGTGGGATTCATGCCACCTGCTGGCTCAGAGATATTCTAATGTGATAGGTAATCCCACTATTATCACATGCTTGCCTTTTAACACATTGATGTAATGCTAAGTCCCCTTAAGCAAACATAAAATATTCAAGAATTAAAGCAAAGTAGTATTTGGGGGGTGGGCAGAGAGCAGACTATGATCAGAACTCTTTGGATCATTTTCTCAGTTTTCTTGTTTGCATTATACAACACATGTATGTTCTTGTAGACAGAAAATAAGTGAAAGTTTGTGGTCTGATGGGGCCAGCAGGTGGAGTGGTGGTCAAGGTACTAGACTCCCACATGGCTGACTGCAGTTTGAGTACTGGACCTGGCAGCTGGAAAATCACTGTGTGTGTGTGTGTGTGTGTGTGTGTGTGTGTGTGTGTGTGTATGTGTGTGTGTGTGCCCAGAATCCCAGGAGGAGAATGGAGGAGAAGGGAGTATGACATCACCATCATTCCCCCCACCCCGGGTGATTTCTCACTTTCCCTTTTACTGTCTCTCTGTCTCTTTCCTTTCCCCATGGCAAAAACCTTTTAAAAAAGTTTGTGGTCTGCAGTTTGTTTAACTAAAAAGGAGTCATTTATGTGACATGCACTGATTCCATGCACAGAACATTGCTTGGTACATAAATATTTGATTAAATGAGTGAATCTAGTCATTGGTACATTAACTTCCTTTTGCCTCTTTAGACCTGAAGGGCTCTCAGGCATCTTCCCAACCCCTTTGTTATACCTTGGAGAGACTGAGTTTTGAGAATTTAGCGATTCATCCATGGGTTGGTCATATAGCTGCTAGGCTAAACCAGAATACAAGCGCCGGTTAGCTTTCTTCTAGGAAACATCAGTTTACATCAGAATCATCTACAAGGCTTATTAAAATACTGATTTCTGGGTCTCATCCCATAGCACCCAATTCTGTAGGTCTGGAATATGACAAGAGATTTGCATTTCCTTTTTAATGGCCAGAGGGCATATGGATTTGCCAGCCAGAGAGAGGGAGAAAGCATCTGTCCAGGGGGCGTGGTTGTGTCACATCCCTTCTCTATTTCTCCGTTCTTTTGGTATGTTCAGTACATGTGTAACATGCACCCAGAATGTTTATGAAGCTGCCGAGGCCAGGATTCAGACCTCAGTCTGCTATGTGGACTCCAGTTGCTTTAATCACTAAGCTATGGGGCCAGTCTCAGAGATTTGCATTTAAAAAATATTTTGCAGTAGGGGACCTGCCCTCACTAGAGAGAGACAGACAGAGAGACTGAGAGAGAGAAAGTGAGAAAGCACTCCCCAGGGAGGATGGTCACACCACAATCTTTTCTCACCCATTCTCCTCTTGGGACTTGGAGAATGCACAGGGTGCAACGGGAATATGTTTCAGGCTGCTAGGCCGAGACTTAACACCACGAATTCATTTGGCCATGTGGGCTCCAGCGGCCTCAGTCACCACGGAATGGCCTGAGATTTGCATTTCTCACAGGCCTCCAGGTGATGCCCATAGTTCTGGTCTGAGGTACTGTGGCTGAAAACTACTCCCTCTACCAAAAGAGGTAGAGAGAAGCAGAGAAGCAGAGGTAGTGAGGCGTTTGTGGTTCCTCATAGGAATTCCAGTCACCTAGAACTACTCTTTGTATCGTCTTTTCCTTTGAAGTTAGCAGCAATTTCTTTACTAGTTTACAAACATATCAAGTGCTTATTGGTGCTAGGTACCATGTCGTGCCCTAGAACTAGATTAAATGAAAAATAAATAAGACATAATCCCTGCTCCCAAGAGCTTCAGAGCATCTTGAGGTATGCAGATAGCTCCCCCAATTACTGTACCCAATGGTGAGAAATTCGAAATAGTGGTAGAACAAAGTGTTAGGGGAACCAAGGTGGAGGGGCTGGAGGAAACAATTAGTAGTAAGATTTTCTTTCTTTCTTTTTTTTTTTTTTTTAGGGAGATTTTTCTACAGGGCACATGCACTTGCTGGAGAGAGAGAGAGAGAGAGACAGAGAGACAGAAAATGAGAAACCACGCCCCTAGGGGGGATGCCCACACCACAATCCCTTCTCCTCCATCTCCTCTTGGGATTTTGGCATGCACGCACATGCGCCTGACATGAGTTTTAAGCCATCAGGTCTGGGACTTGAACTGCGGTCGAC